AGGAGGAGGAGGAGTGGTGGATAGTGTCTGGTGTGATCGGAAATGTGGAAAGGAAAAGAGGCTCTGAGGAAAGGACGAGCACATGTGAGTTGAGGCATAGGATGAGGAGAGCGAGCTAAATATTGCAAAAGCGGTGCTGCAATACACCCTCCCTTCCCGCACCCCTTTCGCACACGCGCCTACAAGTCCTCCCCCCGCTTCAAGAAGCGCTCCCTTGAAATACCAGCACAGGTGGGTCTGCGTTTTGGGCGAGGGCCCCGCTTTGAGCAGGAATTGCCCTGAATCCTTCTGACGCGTAATCATGAGCGCGAACACGTCATCATACAGTTCAATGGGGCGTCCAGCGATATCACCAATCTGGAGAAGGACCGCCCCCTATCCGTGTAACGGTTGCGCAGGTCTACATTTGCGCTTCTGAGTTTCGAAGAAATTCCAAGCGACAGCTCCAGTCCATAGAAAGAGCTTCCATAGATCCGTGCAGCCTCGCGTGCGTTGAAGATCCGCTCTTATCAACTCACCGGAGTTTCAGAGGATACCTCCGCAGCAGCCCTCCATCTTGCTATACGTTGCAGTTGAAAGCGGTTGCGCGCGGCGTTGAGGCGAGAGCCTAATCTTAAAATCGAGCAGTGCTCAATCCTCACAGCTGCTGCAGCAAGTCGGGCCGAATGTTCGCGGCGCTAGGGAGAGAACCCCACTTTGAAAAGGAACCGACCTCCATCCGTGAAGCTATTGAAGAATTACATGAAGAACTTACGTGGCGCTCCGGCCAGAGCAGCATTCTGAGAATGCCTCTTGACCATCTTTGAAACCGTTGCAGACTTCTGAGCCGAAGGTGCGCGGCGCTGAGGCGAGAACGATATGGTGAGCCCTTCCCTCCATGAGTGAAATTGTCGCAAACACGTGGTGTTCGCGGCGCTACGGTGAGTCATACCTTCTGAACAAAGAGCCGCCCCTCCACCCATGAAGCGGCTGCAAGGTGCTGCGGCGAGAACCCCATGCTGAAAGCCGCCTCCCCGCCATCCGGGAATCGGTTGCACTTTAAGACGAGTGCGCGCGGCGCTAAGGCGAAAGTCACATATTGAAAGCCACCCGCCCTCCATCTGTGAAGTTGTTGCGACTTTTTTAAACGAGTGTGCGCGGCGCTCTGGCGAGAGCCTCATTTTGAAAAGGATCCGCCCTCCATCCGTGACGCGGTTGCGCAGCGCTGGGCCGAGAACCACATGTCTAAGACCGCCTCATCTCCATTACCCGTGAAACTGTTACAACCTTTGAAGGCGAGTGTGCGCGGCGCTTCGGCGAGAGGCCCATTCTGAAAGCGGCCCGCCCTCCATCCGTGAAGGTGCTGCGAATTTTTGAGACGAGTATGTGCGGCGCTACTTCGAAAGCCACATGTTGAAATCCAGCCGCCCGCCATCCGTAAAGCTGTTGCAACTGTTGGCGACGAGTGGGCGCGGCGCTATGGCGAGAACAACATTTTGAACGTCAGCCGCCCTCCATATGTGAAGCTCTTACAAACGAGAGTGCACGGCGCTACGGCGAGAAGTCCATGTTGACAGTGGTCCACCCTCCATCCGTTAATTTGTTGCACACTTCTGAGACGAGTGTGCGCGGCGTTGAGGCGAGAGCAACATTTTGAGAGTCAGCCGCCCTCCATCTGTGAAATTGCTGCAAACTTTCAAGACGACTGCGCGCGGCGCTGAGGCGCCCATTTTTTCGAAGCGACCTCCATGCATCCCCGACGTTGCTGCAAGCTTCAAGGTTCTAGATCATGCAAGGCGAGGAAGACTCAGGCGGGACGCGCGGCCCGCCCTACCGACACTTCTGGGGTGCGACACGCCGGATTCTTTATTTATGCAGAAACAAGATGCAGAAGGAGGAGCAGGATAATGACGAGACAAAGGGGCATGAGGACATCCAGGGGGCGACAGAGGAGAAAGGCTGTGGAGGATGAAGGAGGATGAGGAAGAAGAGGAGAAGTGGGGGATTAGGAGGATGGCAAGGAGCAGGGAGAGGAAGGTGACGAGGAGGAGGAGGAGGAGGAGGAGAGGGATGAGGAGGAGGAGGAGGAGGAGGAGCTCCCGCGGTGGCTGGACGAAGAAAAACCTTCTGCCCTGCAGAGCACCGACCAGACAGAGCTGGTGGGCGAGGAGCGCGCCGCGGCGCTGGCCAACAGCCTCGTGCAGCGGTGGGGCGCTGAGTTCAGCGTATTGCTGCATCGCGCCAAGGGGCGCGATAGCTGCGGTCGGCCCTTGGGGTAGACCGCGCGGTCTGGCCGCTGCGCTGTGCGCCGCGGCGGGCTGAGCAGCCGCTGGCGCTGGGCTGGCCGGCCAGAGTTTGCAATGGCGTGCATCATCGTCCTGGTCCCCGTGCTGATCAGTGGGTGTGGGCGTCGGCGCGTTGCGAGCGCTTCGATTTCGTTGGTGCTTGCAGGAGGAGGAGGAGAAAGAGGAGGAGGAGGGAAAGGAGGAGGAGGAGGAGAGCAAGGAGGCGAATGATGGGAAAGGCGGTGGAGGAGGAGAACTGAGGGGAGTCGAGGAGGAGGACGGGGACGAGGAGTATGAACATGATGGTATTGAACATTATGTTGTTGATGGTGATTACTGGGATGCTGATGATGGTGATGATGATGGTGATGGTGATGGTGATGGTGATGATGATGCTGATGCTGATGCTGATGATGATGATGATGATGGCGATTTTGGTGTATCATATGGCCATGATGACAATGAGGATGACGATGGTGACGATGATGAGGATGATGATGATGGTGATGATGATGATGATGACGATGATGATGATGATGATGATGATGATGATGATGATGATGATGATGATGATGATGATGATGATGATGATGATGATGATGATGATGCTAATGCTGATGCTGATGCTGATGCTGATGATGCTGCTGATGCTGATGATGCTGATGATGATGATGATGATGATGATGATGATGGTGGTGGTGGTGGTGGTGGTGGCGGTGAAAGGTGGGACCGTCGCGCCTTGTCTACTTGGCGCTGTTGCGGCTGCGCTCTCTTGGGGCCCCGGGTGTTTCGGTGGGGCCCCTTGTGGCGTGCCAGCGAGCCCTGTCCATCTGCGGGGAGCTCCGGATCCGGCTGTGGCCTCGGCTCGTGCGGCGTATTGTTTGTCGTCTCGGGTGGCGTTTTTGGCTCGACTTGCCGCTGCTTGACACGCACTGCGGTTCTCTCCTTTGTTCCGTGGCCCCATTTCTTCTTTCGGCACGTTCCCTGCCCCTCCCCCCTGGCCCGCGCAAATGCCTCGGGCCTTTCTGTGCCGCCCCCTCTTCCTGGGCCCCCCTGTTCGACGCACCCCAAGCGGTGGTGGCCGTGGTGCTTTGAGATGTGGTTGTTGCGCTCGCACTTCTGTCCAAACGCTACAACCAAGACGCTGAAAGAAGGATCACTTTCGGCTCAGGAGCGGCTCTGGATTATGGGCGATTCCGTAGATCTAGGGCAGAGGGCCGCTTTGTGGCCGAGGCTCGCCGAGGCCAGAAAATTTCAATCGTTCCTTCTTGGGCAATACTTCCGGTAGCACGATGACATTTAAGGATCCTCTTGAAGTCTCGCAGGCCGCTCCCGACGTGCTGGACCGTCGCTCGGCCGGGCCCAGCTGCAGAAGGTGCTGGGCTCGGGCGAGCGGCCTGGGCCTCCCTGGGAGGGTCTCGGCTGGGCGGGGCCCTGGGCGAGAGGAGATACCTAGCAACCGCCACCTCGAGGCCCGCCAGGTGAGGGTTGGATGTGTTCCAGAGGGGTCGGACTGCTGCGAGGTTTCGGCTCGGCGGGGCCCTGGGCGAGAGGAAACACTTAGCAGGCATCATTGCGAGGCGTGCCAGGTGAGGGTGGGATGTCCTCCAGCGGGGTGTCCTGTTCCTATGCCAGGCCGCAGTTTACTTTCACCCGTCGTTCGACTTCCTCGGCGTGTGGCCTGGGTGCGACGTGGCCTAGGTTGCTGGGAGCGCATCAACCTGGCTTGCGCCAGATTGTGTCAGCTTTGCTGACGCATAGCTTCTGAAACTTAGCCCACCTGTATCCGTTTCTGCGTAAATTTGGGGCTACGCCAGCCCCAGCAGCCCCGACCTCATCTGTCTTACGCTAGCCGGAATAGCCCGATCTATATATACATATATATATATATATGCATAGACATACATACATACAAACATACATACATACATACATACAAACAAACATATATACATACATGCATGCATACATACATACATACGTACATACACACATACATAATACATACATAATACATACATACATACATACATACATACATACAGACAGACAGACAGACAGACAGACAGACAGACAGACAGACATACGTCGCCGTGACGAAAGTTTCTTTCAATCTGTTTTCGCCAATAGCGCAGCAGGGCGGAGTAGTTCGGAGTCATATTGCCCCAACTACCCCGCGCACGCGCGCATCCTGATCGAAATTCTCGAGGGTGTGGCGCGGAGTAGTTTCCGATCCGGTCCTGGGGTAGCAGAATCATAGGCATCAGGCGGATCGGAGACTACCCCGCCGAATGTCGCCATCATGATGCTAGGAGTCTTAAAAGGGATGGGATGTATCTTTGCCATCGCAGATAGCAGATTTTCAAGATTGTGTATCTATACTTTTTAATACACAACAAGGCCGACGCTAGCTTACCTTCACGCCAACTTGGGCAACCTGAGCTCAACGCTGATGCGCTCCATGCTTGTGGTGGCAGCAAGGCAGAAAAATGGCGGTTCAGGCACATTCCGTGGAGCATTGCCGAACATTTTGCCACCGGGAGCCCCACCGAATTATATTGAGGTTTTTGGGGAAGCGTTTTGAATGAGTCACGTGGGAAGCTTTGAACTTGGGAGCCGTGCAAGGCGGGCAGTTGCGCAGTTTCTGGAGGCCAAAGGGCTGACATGGTTATCACGAAGGGTGCGGGTAGAGTTCCAAAGTTTGTCTACCCAAACGCTCAAGTGCGTAGGTTGCAGCTATATTTTGGCTCGAGACCCGTCCCCAGCCTGGGGCCTGCATGCCAGAATGACCGCGGGCGCGCGCAGACAGCCCAACGGCTCACGGAAGCCTCCCGCCAGCGCCGCCAGATGCCTTGGCGGCCGGTCGCTGGCCGGGCCGCCAGCTTCTTCGCACTCCAGCTGCTGCTCGGGGCGGCGTACCTCGGGGCGGATTACCTCCCGATGCAGGGAGTCCGCAGGGGGGTTACAGGCATCGACTTTCTTGCCTCCAGCAGCCCAGCCACTCGGGCCAGTTCCCAGCCTGGCGATCAGGTCGAGGCCCAACAGCCGCGGCGGGAGCCGGCGCCGCCAGCGCCCATGGCGCGTGGCGCAGATGGACCGCCGGAGGCCGAGCCTCCACGGCTTGGTGTGCACACCGCAGGCGCGAGTAGCCAGGGGCTGCCAGTCTCACCTGAGCCGGAGCCGCCCTGGATGACCAAAGCGGACGTCCTGAGCCCGACGGACGAAAAACAAGATGAGATCGTGGTCTCTGCGGGGAAGCCCTGAACAGGCGTTTTCGAGAGATCCGCGTGGGGGGGCAGCGAGGGAGGCACTGAGCACGAGAGGCCACCGGTACTGCGCGGCCGATCCAGACCTTGAGACGCACGAGGAGGCCACCAGAGGCCACAGTGCCACGAGAGGCCGCAGGCCACTGGAGCCTCGTCTCCCTCCTCGTCTTCCTTTCCTCCCTCCTGCTCATGGTCCTCGTCTTCTATCTCCTCCGTGGCTGCTGCTGCGAATGGCCGAGCCCCCCTCCTCTCCGTGGGGAGCCAGGCAGTCTTCGCCCTCGGCGCATTGGCTCCATGGGGCAGGAGAGGAGGCCGCAGGCCACGAGAGGCCACGGCCCGCGGCAGCCGAGGCAGCTCCCCAGAGCCCGCCCGGCTCGCAGGGCCACTCGGGGCCACGGGCCCTCGATGGGGTCCCAGTGTTCTGCGGGCGGCCGAGGCGGAGGGCATCATGGTGCTCTCGGCGGCCAGCCCCCGCGCGCGGCCGGCCGGGGGCGGCCACGGGCTGAGAGGGGCTACGGGCCGTGGGCCGCCGGGCCAGCTCTGGAGAGGGCAAGAGTCACTGCATCAGCCTTGCAGACGAGCTGCAGCGGAGTTTCGCGTGGATTTCTGCCAATGCAGAACCCCGAAACCTCGAGCGAAAAACGGAGTGAATTTCACGTGGATTTTGTGTAGTCTTCCTTCCTGGCCAAGAACATCCGCACGAAATTCACATCGAAATCCGAGCACCGATACCGCTGCTCCACGGACCTCTCCCAGGGTGCAGCCTGACCGGGATCTCGAGGCGAATGCAGCCGTGGCGACGATGCGTGTCTGTGGCAGCGGTATCGAACGTCGTCTCTTCTGAAGCTCTCGAGATCCACCCCTGGCGCGCCCCGGCCGCGAGCGGGCGCAGGTCGAGAGCGGCCCCAGGCAGCGGGCGGCTGAGCCTGCCCTCGAGCGCCCTCCTGGCGCACGAGGGCCACGACGGGCCTCGGGCAGTCGTCGGAGCCCCCAAACGGGGTGGTGACCACACCGTGTGGTGAGCCAGTGGGGATTCGGGGCCACCGCACGCTTTTGGGACTTGGGTCGTTCTCCAAGGATGTCTCGGGCGACTGGGGCCTCCAGGGTCCCAGAACCGTGTGGCGACGGACCCTGCGGTGAGGTCTCTGGGGATCTCGAGGTCACCGCCAGGTCTGCCTTCACACGGCGTTAGGATCCCCGAAGCCGAACAGGTTCTAGGAGGCCATCTCGTACATGAGGACCTCGATGGCCATGGTTCACGGGCAGCGGCCCTGCCACTTGCAGAGCACCTCTGCGCGCGCGAGAGGGCCACCCTGGGCCCCTGCCTTTCAGAGGGAGTGTCCACGGGCCACGGGCTGCGGAGCCAGGTCGAGAGATCCTCCCTGCGCCCGCTTGTCGAGAGGGGCCACGGACCGTGAGGGACCCTTCTGGCCGCCGGGCCCGAGTAAAATCTTGACAGCAGCCCCTCCCACGAGGTCCCCAGCCCCTTCCTGAGAGCCACCTTGCCCACCAGCGCCACGACTGGAGACGTGAGGCCACAGGCCACGGGCAGCCGAGGCTATCCCTCTCCTTTTTCACGTCTTCCCCCTTTTCGTCCATCCCCTTTCCCCTGCACTGTCTCGTCATCTCTCTTTTGTCCCTCCTTCCCTTCCTCCACGGTGTAAACTTACGGCAGCCCACGGGCTCTCGAATCAATGTCCGCGTGGCTGGGGCGGGGGGCTGGGGGACCACGAGAGGGTCACGAGTCAGCGAGCCCGTCTCTTGGCGGCCCCAGGCCACTGCGGAGGGCTACGGGGCCAGAGCCACCGGCAGCCGAGTCCACTTCCGGAGGCGACATGGTACCGAGGCGACGGGCCACGCGGGGTAGGAATGGCCCGCGGGGCACCAAGGCAGGGACCACGAGGAGGGCATTCGGCCCCAGCCGCGAAGAGTCGAATGCACTTCCCAGGTGGTCACGAGGGAGCCACGGGAGGGCCACGCGGCCCTGTCCACGAGCAGCCGACGACACCACCTTGGAAGCTCAACGCAGGACCCTGCAGCAGTAGACCAGCATTGTTGCACCGAGGCAGACATCGCCCTTTGCAGAAACACGTTGCTTCGCGCCGCTTTTCATCCGTCGGTGATCGTGGACCTGCCAAGCAGCCCCGCTGGCGGCAGGAAGATGCTGCTGGCCCAGGCGGTTCTCATGAACAATAACAACGTGTGGGGGGACGCCTCTTCCGGCGGCAATGTTACCCGACCGCGATGGTTGCGGGCGTGCCTTGCGACGAACAGGGCCCACACGGCCATGTACGGGCATGCGCATGTGTTGCGGACAGAGGCGACTTTGGAGTTCCCGCAGCACCTAGTGAGGGATTCTTGACGCTTCGCGTATCCCCACCAGCCCATCCAAAACCGACGCCCAGGCGAGATGAGGCGATCAGGGGAGTGTGGGAGAGCAAAGAGGAGGACAGCCGTTATCGTTCGATGGAGGAGGAGGAGGCTAATGAATGAGGAGGGAGAAGGATGTTCAATTTGCGGATGAGGAGGAGCAGGAGGAGGAGGAGGAGGAGGAGGAGGAGGGGGAGGGGGAGAAGGAGGAGAGAGAAGGTGGGAGGAGAAGGACGTGAGCGAGGGGGAGGAGGGAGGATGGAGGGGTAGACATAGGCGGATGATGATGATGATGATGATGATGATGATGATGATGATGATGATGATGATGATGATGATGATGATGATGATGATGATGATGATGATGATGATGATGATGATGATGATGATGATGATGATGATGATGATGATGATGATGATGATGATGATGATGATGATGATGATGATGATGATGATGATGATGATGATGATGATGATGATGATGATGATGATGATGATGATGATGATGATGATGATGATGATGATGATGATGATGATGATGAATGATGATGATGATGATGATAATGATGATGATGATGTGATGCTGCTGATGCTGATGCTGCTGCTGATGATGATGATGATGATGATGATGATGATGATGATGATGATGATGATGATGATGATGATGATTATGAGGAGGAGGAGGAGGAGACGAGGAGGAGGAGGAGGAGGAGGATGGGAGGAGGAGGAGGAGGAGGAGGGAGGAGGAGGAGGAGGAGGACGGCGACGGTGGCGAGCTTGAGGGCCTCTTGGGCCGTCTTGGCGGCCTCTTGGCGGTTCCAGGGCCCTCTTGCGTACCTCGGGGAGCCTCTTGGGGCCTCTTGGGGTCTCTTGGGAGCCTCTCTGAGGCCTCTTGGGCGCCTTTTGGGGTCTCCTCGGCGCCTCTTGGGGCCCTCTTGGGGCGCTCTTGGTAGCCTTTGAGACGCTCTTGGGGCCATCTTGGATGACATCAAGCAAAGAAGAGGAGGGTCGCAATTAGCACTGCCCCTCGAGAGTGCCTAACATCGCCTCGTGGACCCCTCATGGAGCGCTCTTGGGGTGCTCTTGAGCGCTCGTGGGGCTGTCTTGGGCTCTCTTAGGCCTCTCTTGGAGCTCTCTGGGGCACTCTTGGAGCTGCTTCGAGGCCTCGGAAGTCCATCGAAAGCAAAATGGCGAGGAGGCACAATTCACTGATTTGCCTAAGGTTTTGGAAGGATGTTGGCCTCTTTGCGGCCTCCTGGGGAGGCTCCGTGGCCACCTGGAGCCGTCTTAGAGCGTGCCTGGGGCCTCTTGGAGCATCTTGGGAGCCGTCTTACGGCATCTTGTGCCATCTTGGGCTCTCTGAGGCGCTCTTGGAGCCATCTTGGGCCATATTGGACGCTCCACCGCCTCGCGACCCCCCCCACGTCTAAGTCCAGGGGAGGGGGTAAGGGGGATGGATAAACCCTTCCCCGAAGGGGAAGAAGGGGGGAAGAAAGGGGTTGGAAGGTGAAGCGCCCTAGACCACCTACGCCCAGAGGGCTGGTGGGATTGCGCCAAGAAGGGTGACGAGGCCAAGTGCTTCCGTAGCATCGCACACGAGGCGTTCAATTGGGAGAAGGAAAAGCTGATGCTCGACTACCTCAGCAGCCCCCATAACTTTTCACATGTGATGGTGCTTGATGCCGACGCTGCGCTGGTCCACCATGCGCACGACATCATGTCTGGCATGGCTGCAGAGCTGTCCGCCGCTGGCAAAGAACTCCTCATCACGAACGAGGACTGGATGGGCCCAGGCGCTGGGGCGAGCCGCATCAACGGCGGCCTGCTCTTTGCGGCCAACTCCCCGTTTACAAGGGCCCTCTTCGAGGACATGCTGGACGCGCACGCCCGCGGGGGAGGCTTCAAGCAGCCCCGGATCGGGGGTGCCCCGCTCAGATGCGGCAAGAGCGAGCAGCTCTGCCTGAACGGGCTCCAGGATCGCCAGGAGTTCGCCTCCAGGGCGCTGCTCGCGAGCGGAACTCGGTACAACAGGGGTGGGTGCGTGTTGACGAGGTGCGGCGACGGCACAGGGGACCCCAACCAGAAGATGAAACGCTCAGGCCTGCTGGACCCGACTCTTGAGATCATGCATTTCATGGGCAATAGCAAGCAGTTCGCGTCCAGGGCGATTTGTCAGGACGGTCAGACATTGACTGGCCAGGGACCGCATGGCTACGGGTGTGCGGAGTGACTCGGCGGCGCTGCCCCGCGACTGCCCGCCTGAGCGCGCCCGTGCTGCCGCCCGCTCCCCATCGGTCCCCGCTCCTGCCCGCGGCGCGGTCACGACGAAGCCACACGGGCACGGCCGTGCCTGCCAAGGGAGCGAGTGCAATCACTTCACGGAGGTGGGGCTCTCCCCTGCCGCCCTTCCTCTTTCCCAGGCTCCGCCGTCCTCCCCGTCGCACCACTTCGCGTGTGTCGTGGGCGGGGGCGGGCGGGGCATTTCGCCGGAGACTTCCTCGCCGTTGACAACCTTGAAGCCTGAAAGTTCCAGCCGTGGCACGGATGGAGGGCGGGTCTTCCTCAAAATCGGGCTCTCGCCTGCTGAAGCGCCGCGCACACTCGTCCCAAACAGGTCCAAAAGTTGCACGGGTGGATGGCGTGTGTGTGTGTTTTTACATAAGAAGGGGCTCTCGCCTGGGCCCCGTGGACACTCGTGGAACCAATAGCTAACAGTTGCGCGGATGGAGGGTGGTGGCTTTCATAATGAGGTTCTCGTTTTGGCGCCGCGCATAATCCAACAGTTACGCAGATGGAGGGGGAATTGCTTTCAAAATGAAGATCTCGTCTTGGCGCCGCGCATACTCGTTAAACAAACATGTAACAGTGATGCATTGTTTCCCAAGTGGGGATCTCGCAGGTGATGATGTTAGATTTGTTGCGAGAAGATGAACGTGCGCAACAGCTACCGGGTGGATGGCGGTTCCGTTAAGAGGCGGTGTTGTCGCTGGGCATTTATATATATATATATATATATATATAATTCGAACTTGCATAAATGGGAATTCCTCTCTAAACGGAACTCCCGCCCGCATTGCGGGCCCCAAGGGGCGCCCATCGCTCAATGAGGGCACCTCGCGCAGTAAGCAAGAGTCGTCGTAAGGACTAAAGAACAGCATCGTTGATACATTTTTGGGATTACACTGCTGCTCCTCCTCCTCCTCCTTCTCGCCCTTCTCCTTCTCTTCTTCTTCCTCCTCTCTCCGATCGTTCCCCCGAGAGGCAGCGAACTTCTCTTGCCCCTTGACGGACCTCTTTCTTTCGCCCCCCGCTCTTGACCGTCCTCTCTCTCTCTCTCTCTCTCTTCGAGCCGGTGTCCTCCTACTCATCCTCCTCTTTCCTTCTTTCCTCCTGCCTTCCTTCCTTCCCTCTTCCTCCTTCTGCTCCTCCTCGCCTCCTCCCTCCCTCCCTCCTGCATCCTCCCGTCCTCCTGCCTCCCCCGCCCCTCCGCCCTGTTGTCCCCTCCCCCCCCCGCGGCAGACGAGAACGAGATCCGCGTCCAGATCCAGGACCGCACAGAGGGCCTGCGACAGCGGAGGCTCGCCACCGCGGCGGCGGGAGGCGCCGCGCCGCTCGCTCTTCCCATGAGTATTCTGGGTTTCTTAATAAGCGTCGGGGGGGCGTCACCCCCGAAAACGCCCGCTGCAGACCACCGCCGCCCCCTGACCTCTGGAGGCACCCGTGCGGCCAAGCGTCGAGGCCAACGGCCGGCCAAGCTGCTGGACTGTGAGTGCCCCCCCAGCCGCTTCGGAGCCCCTTGGGGGAACAGTCAGGAGTGAAGGGGGATGGAGAAGGAGGAGGAGGAGGAGGAGGAGGAGGAGGAGGAGGAGGAGGAGGAGGAAGAGGAGGAGGAACAGTAAATGGAGGCTTGTTGAGGCTGTCTTGGGGGCTTCCTGGGAGCCTTTTGGGGGACTTTGAGGGGCCTCCGGGGGGTTTGGAGGTGGGCGGGCGAGGCCATAGCACGAGCCCGCTCCCCACCGGGTCGCCTGGTTCGGGTCTATCCCCGAGCCCCCCCCGCGCCACCTCTCACGAGGCGTGGGGGTGGCGGCCTGGGCCTGAGCGGGCTCTGCTCGGCGCCGCTGCGCGGCGCCTTCGCGGCGAGGGGCGCCGCGGCGGCCAAACACCAGGCGGCGCGTGAGAGGCAGGAGGAGAGGCCGGGCCCCCCGTAGCCTGGGGACCCGCTGATCACGCTCCTGGGCTGCACGCGCGAAGGCAAGCCATTCCCACCGGAGGTCTGGTCCGCCTGGGAGAAGACGTTTTCCACGGACAACCGCGGCGTCCAGGGCCCTCGGCACCAGCACGAGAACTTTCGGCTCGGCTACGGCATGGGCATCTACTGGGAAACGCTTGCGAGGTGGATGAACACGCGTGCTCGTCGCGACGCTCGGCGTCTGGGCATGCCCCTCGTTTTCCTGCAGGCCGTTGACGAGTGCGGCGCGATTCAAGGCGATCCCGACGCGGGTCGGCGCCTCCTGAACGTCCCGAACATGCACAAGACGGGGGACATCCACGGCGTCTTGCCGGCCCACGTCGGCATGGGGGTGCGGTTCACGGCAGCGCAGGAAGAGCTGAAGAAGAAGTTGGGGCTCGTGCAGGAGCAACGGGTCACCATCGTGTCTTCCGAGTTCCACCACGAGGACGAGCAGCGGCGCGAGGAGCGCTCGGCAGGCCAGCTCTTTCGCCCCCGCTTCCTACCGCAGGGAATCTGGCTGCAGGCGCACGGCTTCAAGGAGTCCCCGATCTACCAGGAGGTCGCCGAGGTGCTGTGACAGGGCGCCGAAGACGCCGACGACGACGGCCAGGCCCAGCAGGTCGAGAGGAGAAGCGCGGAGGCTCGTGGCCTCGCTCCTGCGGCCCCCGCCCCCGCCGCTCCAGGGTCGCCCCCCCGGCCGGGGCCCTCGGAGAGCGCGCTGGCGCCTGCCCCTTTGCCCCGAACAGTCCCTCTTCCAGAGCTCACCCGCGGCGCCGTTCAGGACGGCGGCTCAGCCTCTGGAGGCGCGGCCCGCCCCCGCGCCCCCTCAGTCCACGACGGCGCAGGATGTCGATCACAACCATTTCGGACCGTTCAAGAACTGCTCGGGGCGGATTCCAAACGCCGATCCGGGACCGATCGCAGCGCGAAGGATTTCTATACTAATTCTACAAGGCGGACGCAATAATAGAACCTTTGCATAGCCTCCGAAGCGCTTCTCATGAGCTTCTGAAGCGCTTGCGAGTCGCTTCTGAAGCACCTTCGATGCGCTTCTGAAGCGCTGCTGCAGCGTCTCTGAAACGCCTCTGGGAATCTTGTGAGGAGCTTCGGAGGAGCATCTGAGGAGCTTCTGAGGAGCTTCTGATGAGTTTCTGAGGGCTTTCTGAGGAGCGTCCGAGCAGCTTCTGAGCAGTTCATGAGGAGTTTCCGAGAATCTTCTGAAAAGCGTCCGAGCACATTATGGGGAGCTTTTCAGGAGCGTTCCGAGCAGCTCCTGATGAGCTTCTCAGGAGCGCACGAGGAGTTTCCGAGGAGCTTCTGATGAATTTATGAGGGGCTTCCGAGGAGCGTCCGAACAGCTTCTGGGCAGCTTATGATGAGCCTATGAGAAATTTTTGGGGAGCATCCGAGCACATGCTGAGGAGTTGTTTGAGTATTGTTCCGAGCGGCTCCTGATGAGCTTCTCAGGAGCGCCCGAGGAGCTTTTGATGAGCTTCCGAGGAGCTTCTACGGAACGTCCGAATAGTTCCCCTTGCGTCCCTCATTTCCCTGACACGTTCGTGTCGGCGGCCGCCCTGCCATTGGACCACGCAGCTCCCCAGCTGCCTCCAGCAATCCCGCCACCGTGCCAGCGCAGCATTCTAGGTGGCAAGTACCCCCAGGGAGGAGCCATCGCCGCCCAGGGACCTCGAGGACTAGATTGTGCGCGCAAGTGGGCGCGACGAGAAGAGTTGGCGGGTCCCTCAAAAGACTACAGGAACCCTGCCAGGCAACACTTGCATGTTTCCACGCTTCAGCGTGCAAGGAGGCACGGTGGCGGATTTATGCCCAGCGGCTTCTGGCGACCGGTTCCCAGAGGCGGGCTGTAGGCTGTAGGTGGCGTGCTCTCGGTGATGGCCGTCGTCGTCGTCGTCGTCGTCGTCGTCGTCGTCGTCGTCCTTTTCGTCCTCCCCCTCCTCCTTCTCATGCTCCTCCTCGTCTCCCGTCGCGACCGACTGTCAGGTCCATGCTCGAGCTAGTGCCGCTGCTGCACCATCCCGCTTATACCGGCCTGCTTCGTCCGCTCGGGCTGCTGCTGGCCTGGCGCCCTCGTGCAGGGCAGGCGACAGGCTGAGCGTCCATTCGGATCTTCCTCACGCGTGGCCATAGTCTGACTCGTTCTCCTCTGGCGATGTGCGCTCGTCCTCCTCCTCCTCGTCCTCGCCCTCCCTACTTTGCCGCCCACCACCACGGTCCCCCAAACTGTCCCTGCGCTATTGCTTCTCGGCCCCTCCTGGCCGATGAAAGTCCGGGCCGACCGCTTGCCGCTAGGCGCCCCGGAGGCGCCGGCGCCAGCGGGCAGCCCTCCCGCGGAGAGCGCCGCCAAGGTCGAGCAGATCGAGGCCGAGGAAGGGCGCTGGGCAGGGCCCAGCTCGGTCCGATCGATCCGAGTCGATATTTACAGGAGGGCGAGTTGAGGGAACGGAAGTCGGGGGGGGCACCTCGTCGCCGCGGGTGGACGCAGCTCGAAAACAGGTGCGTTTGGATTCCGCGAGGCGCACGGGGACCGATTTTGAACTGCCGTTGTCTCGACTCGGCCTGCTCTCCGTTCAGGCGATCCGATGCGACCCGATGCTCGCATGGCGCTGCCGGGCATCCGGGCATCCTGGCGCGGTCGACCCGCTTCGATTCCGACTCCGTGTGCAGATGCAGCGCGGCCCGACGCAGGTTCCGATTCGAGCCGATTTCCCGGTTCGATGGTGAGTGATCCTGCGGGGGGCACGGGGGCGGGGCAGGGGCAGAGCAGGCAGGAGAGGGGGGCGGCTGCGATGGGAGCAGGCCTGCCGCCCGCCTGCATACGCCGGTCCTGGCCGGGGCTGGCAAGCCCTTGGCCCAGGATCGGTGAAGAGCGTATCTCAAGTCGCTGAGGCCCAGCTGTTTCGTGACTGCTTCTGTTTCTTCCTTATGTATTTTATTTGGTTTGTTTCTCTCTCTGTCTCTTTTTTCTTTTATTGTTGTTGTTCTCTCTCTCTCTCTCTCTTTTGTCTCTCTCTCTCTCTCTATTTGTGTGTATATGTATATATATATATATATGTATAGATGTGTCTCTGTCTCTGTCTGTGTCTCTCTCTCTCTCTCTTTTTTTTGTTTCTCTCTCTCTCTCATACTGTCTCCCAAATTACAAAGATGCGGCCTAGGTGTTGGCGTGGGGGCAATTCTGGAACACGCACCCTACTCCTCCTGGTGACGGTCACCTTCTCCAAACGCACGTCGCATACCTCCCGTTCAGCACATGCCGCCAGGGCCTGTGCGAGAGGCTCGGTGCTGCGTGTATGCCGCCAATCCTGGGCAGTCCACGTGGCCAGCCCATAGCCGCCAACGTAATCTCGATCTGTTCGCATGGTGGTTTTCGGATGCTGCATTCCAGGCCACCGAAATTTGCCAGAGCACGTGGAGTCGGAGGATCGCCCCGCATCGCCGAGGCATCGGTGATGTGGCACCATTTGAAGCCCGATCTGCTTCACACCGACGTCGCCGATGCGTCGCCGACGTGTCGGCGATGCGGTGCGATATTCCGACACCGTTTGCCCTGCTCCCATCTAGGATGCATCCAATTCCCCTTGAGGTCCCCAGAGGCCTCGGGAGGCCCCCAGGGGCCGAGCAAGGCCCAACATGTTGCAAGACGTTCGAAAGCCCTGAGTCTCGACCCTCGATCCTCGACAGTCTGGCAGCCTTTGCTGAGGGGCCCCTGGTTCTAGGGCACATGCGGCAGTTCAGGACGAATCGCGCCGAGGAAAAGCATGGGAGTCGATGGAGTGCGAGGCCGTGCAAAGTCAAGTAGTACAATGCAGTACCCTGCGGAGCAAGTCAAGGTACGGCGCAGCAGGGCAAAACGAAACACCAAGTCAAAGCAGAGAAAGCGATGCAATGCTCTGCGCTGCACGGCTCTGCAAGTTACAGCAGCACCAAGCAGAGCGCCGTAATGCGTGTATGCTTATCATAGTTGTGCTTATCTTGGCTTTTGCCTGCTGTAAATTTCATCTCTTCTTTAGCCTAGTATTCAGCTGGCCAGAAGCGCTCCGGAAGTCATAGTACAGCTCCTCACTGGGCGCTCGGTATCTGCACCCACCCCTCCAACTCCCTGTCCCTGCCTGTTCCTCACACCGGCCGCATCCCTGTCCACGTCTCCGTCCCCGCCTCCGTGTGCGTCCCCGCCTCGGCCTCCCTCCCCGTCCCCGCGACCCCGTCCCAGGACGCGCCCTCTGGCCCCCGCCCTCGGGAGCCGCGAGCGCGCGCGCATCCCAACCTCCGCCCCCGCTGTCGAGCCGTCAGATATCTGGGCCTCCTGTCTTCTCTTGGCGGAGGGGGGGAAGAGAGAAGGAATATGCCTGCTCAGACGGCGGCGGGACTTGTCAGAAGCCATCTGGCCCTCTGAGAAGGATGTATTCTGTCTCTTCGGGGAAGGCTCAGGCACCTTCTCAGAAGCCCGAAGGCCGTCTGGGCCTTCTGAGAAGGCCCGCCCCCTCTCACTCCTCCCTGGGCTCGCTGCCGAGTCTGGGCCTCTTGTCTTCTTGCCGCGAGCTGCAGCGAGGAGCGCCTCCCCCCCCCCCCCGAGGTTGTCGAGTGCCATCCCTGGCCTCGGAGAAGGCGAGCGGCCTGCGGCAGGGCGGGGCTCCCGTAAGCCCTCGGCACTCCCTGTCCTCGTCGCCCTCGTCCCTCGGCCCTCGTCCCTCGGCCCTCGGCCCAAAGCCAAGGTCCCTCCTTGTCCTCGTTCTCGGTCCTCCTCGTCCTTCGGCTCTCCCCTCGGCCCCCGTCCCCCGCTTGTCCTCGGCGCCCTCCCCTTCCCCTGGCCGCAGGACCTCGACGCGGGCGCCGCTGCGGTGTCCTTCGCCGCGGAGGCGGCCCGGCCGGCGGCGGCGGACCGCGGCCGCAGCGGCAGGCCGACGGCTCTCCTCTTCGGTTTGTGGGGACCTCCCTCTTTCCCTCCCTCCCCCCCTCCTGCCCTCCCTCCCTCCCTCCCTCCCTCCCCCTCCTCGCGGCGGCGAACGCGCCCGCCCGAGCGCCCGAGCACACGCTGATCGGGAGCCAGCGCAACCCGCCAACCCCAGAGCCAGCACACCGCTCAGCCGTGGCTGGCCCTGAGCGGAGGGGGTGTGGTGGCCCGGCCCCGTAAACTCCGATGATTGGAGCCGCCACAGCGCAAGCGACAATGGCGTGGCCCACCGCGAGCTCCAGACCGCAGCCCAGTGGCCTCCCCGGCGGCTTCAGCGGCGGCCCTGGGCCGCACAGTGCCAAGAGGAACCCCGTCCCGCCTGGAGGAGGAGGAGGAGGAGGAGGAGGAGGAGGACCAGTGTAAACCCAAGGGTCATCAACGATGCTGGAATTCACCCACCCTCCAAGTAAATATGCTCCTCTCCGCCTAATACTCAATTAGAAGATAACTTAGATTGCATGCAACGAACTGTCCGCGTGTACTGACGCTGCGTTTCTGCAGCTGTGTTATTGCTCGAACCAGCCGAACTCGACTGGCAGAAGAGAAAAGGAGCGCGCTGGGGCGCGCGGGCGATCCGTCGTCGTCCGTCCTCGGCCTTCCTCCTCCCTTCCTATTCCTGATCGAGTGGTTTAGCTTAACGGATATCTGTCTCATCAATGTCTCATCCCGCCTCCGCTCTCCCTGAGCAGAGTGAACATGAGATCTTACTTCCTTTGTCACCTAACCCCGGTTCTCAGAGGAAAGACTGGTTATCAGCCGAAACGCGCGACTCAGTCGACGCGGGGCCGCCAGATACAAAAGGGAATATTCAAGTCGTGCCCCGCGATTCAGTCGCTGCGGGAGAGAGCTACGATAAGACTAACATCGTGTCTAATATCTCGAGAAGCGCAGATTGGCGCGTTGAACAACATGATGGACACGAAACAGATACAATCGGTCCTATTCAAGACCGAATCCCTCCTTCGACAATCGCCGATCGGGTCACCAGGGGGAGAAGTACTGATGGGATAACCGAAATGTCGGTAGACATGCCCACAGTAGGGGCTCCGATAGGTGATCGTGAGCAAACCCCTGACCCTCGCGGGCGAGAGGGCGTCGCGCCAAGGCCCAGAAGAGGTGCATTCTCTTCCAGGTTGAGTGCCAACTCGACGGAGTCGATAAGTCCCATTCAGAATGCTCCACAGGCTACCTCCATTGCCGCTGGCGAAGCCAGCCGGCCAGGAGAAGCCCAAGGGAATCCGAATGCGTATCCTAACATCCCCATAGATTGGGTGGGTACGCACATTAATGCCCCAACCCCTATAGCACTTAACGGGCAAGTCGGTCAGGATAGCGACGACCCATTGGGCAAAGATCACGAAATATATTCCATGGGAGAAAATTTTTGATCGTATCAACAATGATATTTCCCTGAGCCGAGCGTTGTCCGTGATGCTGGATGAGGACATCCCTGCTTGTGACAGAAGCTGGTCTCCAGACGGATCCGATGAGGACACTAGTATCCTGACGCCTCAGGCGGACAGGACGGAGACTCAAACAAAGCATGAGAGGGAGTCCACAGGGCGAGCTCCTGCGCCTAACCTCAAGAAACACGGGAATGAGGACTATGAGCTAAACGTCTCGCCATTAAAAGAAGGCTTCTTCCGTGACGCCACCACCTCAGGCGAGTGGCAACCCACCATTCCGGCTGTTGTTGAGGACGAAGAAATGGTCGGACAACAAGATATATACTCTCAGCTAATCAAACGAGACGAGAAGGATGAGGAGCTCCTAAATGCGCCCAAACCACCAGAAAGTACTTTTGCTCGCCCAAGGTCAAACGCTTCGAGCAGGGGAAGACCCAAAATACCAAGATCAGGGGCGAGGTCTACCTCTAGAAGCAACAGTACAGTCTCTATGATGGAGGTATGTTGGAATCCGACTCCTGGCGGTGCGCCTCAGGCGGAGAACAGATGCCCATGAAAGGCCAACAAGCCCGGAGGCGCATGTAGGAACCCAGTGTGCAGGAACTGCTCGGACGTTTGTAACAAGTGCAACATGCAATGGCTATGCGCGGAGTGCTACCCAATGGACGAACATAACTGCGCGTATCTCTTCTTGCAGTCTATTCAGGACCAGGCCGGGCTAGCAGAGGCCACCACTCAGAGAGAGTTTCTGACTACTGAGGCGAATCTGGGTGAAAGGGCTCGGATGGACAGAGAAGAATTCATTGAATCTGTGATCGAAGCCAGGAAAAGGTTTGAGGCTGACCGGATCGCCCTAGCCATGGCCGCTAGAGAGCGCGAGCAAGCGCTTATAGAGCACCTGTACAACCAGACTGAGGCCGTGAAAAGGCAAGTGGAGAGGGAAGCGGAAGACAAATACAGAGAATTATTGATTTCGGAGAGACGGACCGTCATGATGGCGAACGAAGAATCTGCGGACGCCCATATGGTTGCCGCTGCTGTTGCGGTGGCCAAGATAGAAGGAGAACAAATAGCGACAGCCGTGGCGGAACGAGAATAGCAGGGATTACAAGAAGAGCTCAAAGCCGCCAGGCTGAAAGCAGACAACACCCAAGCTGTAGCTGCGAAGATAAACAACCAGGACAATCTATATAGAAGAGCTTAAATCGCATGAGGAAGCCAGATCGTCTCTTCAGCGTATAATGTCGAGCGACAATAAATACCCTCCGGCTAAGCCGCTCGGGTCGAACATGCACCAATTTTCGACGGCTCAGTCGTCGAGCATCGCGCCTGCCCCTGCGCAGTTTGACCAGGCGACCGTGGCAAATGCGGGGGCGTCGACCATGCTGGTAAGAGGTGCCATGCGCCCTCCTCCCGATGGGAATGGACACGCGCTTCCCGTGGACCAGTTTTGTGCCGTTTGCTTTCGACCAAAGACAGACAACTGCGTCGGATGTGGCAGCTCGGCTTGCAACGAGCATATCGATGCGAGTACGAGGAGATGCTCTAGATGCGACCTGTGGAAGAGTGAAAGGTCAGCGGCTAACGCGCGAGAAGAAGAGGTTGCATCGAACGCGGCTAACAGAGAGATAGGAATGATTAGGCTTAAGGCTATCATCGCCGACCCGAATCCGTACACTGAAACAAAACATGAAGTTGGACTCACATCGAGGTCGTTCGGATTCCCGTTGCTGTCGCAAGAGCCCCCCCTGAGACCGCTGTTGCATCAGCACTATTCTGTCCCGGGACCTGCCCTTGAAGGTCCGGCTAAGCCGAGTACCGCTGAAAGTGGACTCCCTGCAGGGATGAGGCTAATTGGACTTAGTGAAAAAAACGGCCTTGCCAATCTCCTCGCAACCCATGGAGGTGGTCCTAAGGGAACGACGGCGACTAAGTCGTCGGGAAATGCAGGGTAGGGCGGAGAAGATGATGACAAGAGCGACGCTCCCAACGCTGAGATCGCATCTTCTCACGAAGATGATCGTGGCAGAGGACCGCGAAGATCGCCTCCAGGGAGTCCAGGGGGGTCTGGCCCCTCTGATGGCGGGGGCGGACGCAGGGGGCCCCATGGCCCCGGCGGACCGCACGACTCGATAGTAATTGACGAGAGCACGCCCTTGGATCAGTGGATACAGGTCGGTAACAATCAGAAAATTGATTTGCTAGACATCCCCGATGTTACGAACATTCGTGAGTGGAAGATGCACGCAATACGCGCCATCGCTGGATCATCGCCTGAGAGCCAGGCGGCACAGCACTGGATTGCCGAGGCTATGGGCCCAGCCGTGGAGGATGAGCAACTCAAGGATGCTGGGCGATTCCAGCGTCTCGACCTTATGATCGCAACGAATATTATCGAGAAATTCAACTGGATGCGAAAGAGTCGATACCAGCCTCCTCATCATACTCATTTCCTTCAACAGGTTTCTCGCGTGGAATTCAGCGCCCAGGCCGAGGGAAGGCCCATGACTGGACGCGAGATGGTGCGGGCGATTTGTCACTGGTGTTCGATAAGGTCGGAGTTGGGACAACATCGCATGTCACGTGACCTCTTTAAAGTAAAGATAGACCCGCGCAAGCCTGATGCTGACCTGTATCAGTTCTACAATGCATGGACATACGTATACCAACAGCTTTATGGCGCAAGGCCTCCGTCCGATGATATGAGGGCCTCGATTCATGCGCACTTTCTTGAGCAATGCAGAAAGCCGAACAAACTGGATTTTGTATGTAAGTTATATGACTTGTCAAGAGACAGGCCGGGACAAGGTGTCAAAACTTACGAGTGGCTAATGCAGCAGATTGAAGAAATCATGTTGCGAGAAAAAGAAGAATTGAATATCAGCGTGCATGAGGGAACCTTAAACCAACGTGCCCGACAAGCACGATTCGGCGGAGGCAACGACAATCGGAGGAACGCAGGCAACAAAGCCGCCCCGGCAGAGATTGCCACTAAGTTGGGACAATCCTCGGACGTCATGAAGAGCGGGAAAGCCAAGGGTGAAACCACGTGCCGATACGTTACCAAGGGCGAAATTTGCCCGCACGCAGGAAAAGGCTGTCCCTTCAATCGCAAGAAGCCCAAGAACGCCGCACCGGCTCAGCCGAGTGCGGGACGAAAGTCCAGTGCTGCCCCTGCCCAGGATAAGAACCCGAGAGGCAGATCGAAGGACAGGGGCCGGAAGGGGCAGGGGCGATCCCAGACCCCGACTGGAGACCGAGGGAAAGGAGGACAGCAGAAAAATAAAAGTCAGTCACGTGGGAAAGACAGTAATATTCCGTGTTACGCATACTCCCGAGACCCCACGAATTGTCGAGGACCCGAGGACGGGTGCCACAAGGCCCATAGAAAGCTAACCGATGCTGAGGAGCTGAAGCGTGACAAATGGGAACAAGCGAAACTTGACGCTGGACAATCTTTGGGATATGAGCGTACATTCAAACAGGCCAATGCTGCTGCTGCCAATATCTCTTCGACGGGAAGCAATGGTGGCTCACGAG